AAGAAAGGCATTGTTTGGTAATTAGCGGTTAACTTTAGCGGATAGCGGATTGTAATAGCTGTTTTGACTAGCTGTTAGTATTAGCTGTTTTGACCGGCTTATACTGGTAGCGGTTCTAAAAAAGATGTTTTGTTAAATAGCTGATTGATTTGTAAAAAAAACATTCATGTTATTAACTTACTTATTTTGTTATATAAATACTTAGAAAGCAATAAACACCAATTGTATTTATGTAATTATTTTTGTATCAACAAAAGTTGAATTGATTCATAAATTAAATTAAGTTTTCATACATATTATACTTAAAGTAAAATAAAATAAAGAATATAAATTAAAAATATAAAAAGTGTGTTAATGTACTTAAATACAAATTAGTATTTGAAAATGGCAACAAAATTTTCATCGTTATCTTTCAAATAGCCCATTAATTGAATTATTAGTTATAACTAATAATTTAATTACTTTTATCAATATCATAATAATTTAAGATATTTTAATTAATTGTAATTATAACTTCCTAAATGACAAATCATTTATAGTTTTAATACTTTTTTAGTTAATTTGTAATTAAAATAATAATAATAATAATAATAATAATAATAATAATAATAATAATTAGTAATGATAATAATAATTGTAATAATAATATAACGTCCATATATATTAATACTGTTCAAACAAATATTAGAAAGCAATAACACGTCAATAGTGTTTTATGTTAATTTATTGCTTTTTTTTTAAGTGCTAATTTATTGCTTCCTTTTTTGGTAACATATATGTGTTATTGTTAAAATTAATTTTTATCATTCATTTCTTTTTAAGTATTTTCAAACATAAGAAAACAATTATGTAGTAGTGGTTGGCAAAAAGCTGAGTGAAAATGCTGATGAAAAAGCTAAATGAAAAAGCTAATATACCAAACGCAGTTATTAACTAGTTAATAAGCTATAAAATGGTCAAACAACTAAAAGTTGACTGAAAACCAATTAACAAACGCAGCGGCTAAAGTTGATTCCAGATTTTCAAAGAGACCATTTACCTATATTTGTCTCCATATATTGAGATAGAGGATAAGAGATATATGCATACACGTAGGTACGTTTGAAATCATTTATCTGTAGAGAAAAAAATTGTCTGCAAGCTCTTATTATATGCCGCATCACAAATGGATGCTATGATAAAGACAGAGTAGAAGACCAATAGCACCGTATTTAATTTGTAATTAATAATGTCATCTTTGCACTTAATGCCCGTCAGCAATATAAAATATAAGTAACATCCTAAATATGTTGCTTGGAAGTTGGATCGTACTGTGCAACCATGTATTAATTATTTTTTTTTTTATTTGACAAATTATTAATTTATTATTCTGAAGTATATAAAAGTGATAAATTTCTCTGCAAAGTAAAAATTTGCTCACATGATAATTCAGCCAACAAAGCATGAAAGTAAAGGAGTTAGCTAGATACGTGATACACTCAAAAAGACAAAAACAGTTGACAATTTACTACGAAAGGAAATTTTATTTCTTTAATGTACATATTTACTTAATTCTGAAAATTTAATGCCAAATCATGAATAAGATCATAAAGAATGATTAATTATGAGATCTTTAACAAATAAATTAACTTGGTATTTCTTGTAAATATAATCTCTAAGAAATCCAACTACTTGAATCAAATAAAAATAAATTACTCTTTTATTGTTGTAATTAATACTAACGCCAACAGTATTGAATATAATTTATATTGTAAAAATTATATTAGAGCGACCTAACTATTAGGCCGGCATATTTTTTTTTTTTACAAATTTGCATTTTCTCGTTAGAAAATATCATAAACAGAAGTATGACAAAGTATGACATTGATAGTATACGCATACTTTTTCTTCATAGGATATGGTGAGGCGACCCACCTAATGGTTAATTTGTCTAATCCAAGAACTTGTGAATATTATAATTCATACGTATGAATATTATATTTAAAATTAAGTTATATAATACTGCATATCACTTTTAATAAATGAATCACTACATAAATTGCATAAAATATATTGTAACTTACAGAATTTAAGGATCATGATCGATTAGTGAATTTAAAAAATGTTAAATTATTATTATAACAATTATATACCCGTTTAAAAATATATAACTTGAAGAAAAAGTTCTAGTATAACTTTTGTACAAGTGTTTCATAAACCTTTCAATGGCAATTTCTAAATTATAAAATAATATTAAATATTATATGATATACGAACATATTATTATACATAATTAATGAAAAGACTAACAATCATTTTTTAAAGTTAAATTGAAAATAAATGATAAATACATTAATTCAATAGACTACAATTATATATAGATATCCATTTATGATCTTGAGAAGGACAAAGAAATGACACGAAACTATTTAATTTTAGGCAACTTGGAATTGAGATTCTAACGAAATCACAATATATTATATATATATATAACAAGTTGTCGCCACGAAAAAAATTACTAAATCGAACATTAGTTTATCTTGTTGACATTTGATGCCTCGCATTTGATTATCGAATTAAATAGTTGNTGTTGACTTTTTTCCCCCAATACAGCTACAATTAAAAGCAATTAAACCCCACCCAAATGGCCGCTCGTGACCAAACCCCCCAATCCCCATCATGAACGGCACCACCACCGACCCCGGCGGCTTCCTCGGCTCCGAAAGCATCGGCGGCTTCGGTTACGGAATCGGAGTTTCCGTGGGCATTCTCCTCCTCATCACCACCATTACCCTCGCCTCCTACTACTGCACCCGCAGCGGCACCTCCTCTGCCGCCGCCGCCGCGGCCCTGCCTCTCCACAGCGGCCCCCGGGCGGCGGCGAGTCCGCCGGAGGCGGGAATCGACGAGGCGACCCTGAAAAGCTACCCGAAGGTGCTGTACTCGGAGGCGAGGAGGGCCCACGGGGAGTCGTGCTGCTCCATATGCTTGGCGGACTACAGGGGCGCCGACACGCTCAGGGTGCTGCCCGACTGCGGCCATTTATTCCACGTGAGGTGCGTTGACCCGTGGCTGAGGCTCCACCCGACTTGCCCTGTCTGCCGGACGTCCCCCGTGCCGACCCCGCTCAGTACACCTCTGGCGGAGGTCGTACCGCTGGCCACCAGGCCAATCGGGTGACGTGTCCCATATTTGAGGGCAATATGGGAACTAATGGATTATTTTTCCCTTTTTTGATAATTTCTGCTTAGTATACTTGTACATCTTTTGCAATTTTTTTTTGGGTTGATCTCTACTCTGGTGAGTATACTTGTGATTAATCTGAGCTACTTTATTAATCGTGTTTCTCTTTTAGTTATTATAGTACGAGTTCCGATTTTCTTTAATGTAATTCACACACACACACACAGACAGAGTAGACAAATGCAAGTTTTTAGGCATTATTCATTGCGTAATCGTCTCCTCACAAAATCTCATTTGCGGCGGGTCATATCAAAAGTTATTAGAAGCAATTTACAGATCAATTTTGTGCAGTGATTAGTATATAATAATCTTACCTATAAACAAGATGCTTCTTATACTATACAACTGCATGTTAACTAGAATGAATTTTGAAGTCAGGTTTTTAGGGGTTGCAAATGAGTCGGGTCGAGCTCTGGCCTTACCGAGCTAGGCTCGATTTTATTGATCAGCTCGACTTGGAAAAAAAAAATGCAAATGCTCGAGTTTGACTGAAATTTTAATTAGACGTATTTAAGTTATCTTATTTCATCTGGCTCCTCAGGTTTACAAACTACAAGCTCAAGCTCAAAGTCGAGGTTTGATTTGCCGTTTGTAGTCAATATAGCTAGGCTTCAAGATGATCATACATTATAATATTATTTAATTTTCTATTCACACACACATTTATATATATATTTTGTTACTTTAGCTTATCATTTGCCTTTTTATTCCATCCCATTTCCATTCATTGGATGATGACAACCATATGATATAACACCATTTTGTGATCAGCTGGCATATTGTTTTCTCATTATAACTAAATAATTAAATAAGTTGCTTTCTTTAGATTATCTATGAACTCCTGCTAACTCGATTGAAAAATGACCAGTAATAACAATAATGTATATTAAGTAGGTTTTGCCTAGAAACTTTGTGGGGTCTCTTATGAATTATGATTCACCGAAATCAGCAGCGATCTTTAATTAATTGATAGAGTAACAGAAAAACATAAAGTTTGCTTTTATATAATTCTGCATGAATAGGGAAAACAATTAAAATAAATGAAACTGTAGTAACAATGGGTTGAGATTCATGCATTATACATCGCAATATATTATATATGGGTTTTATAATTTTTTTTTTTGGTACAATGAACCTTCCGGTTTCCGAATCCCCTAGGGGACCGACTAATCCGCAATCGAGCCGGGTAGGACCACAAGGGCGGCAAAGCTCTACCTCAAGAGTTTTAACACAGCTGCATTCCCAGGGCTCGAACTCGAGACCTCTGGTTAAGCTGGGAGAGACCCCAACCATCTCACCCACGTGCTCTTGGGTTTATAATTTTATACTATATCTTAAGTTAGTAATTTTTCAGATCCCTAATGGCTCCCCAACTCTCGTAGGCTTCAACTTATTTGGCATATCCATTTATTGCAGCTAGGACTGAGCATGAAACTCGGAGAATTCTGAACATTCCAAAAACCGAACCGAAATCACTCTGAAGCAAAAAATAATTATTGACCATTTGACTTTCTTCGAAGCGAACCGAACCGAAAAAAATAATTAGTACGGTTCTGAAAATTCCATAATATCCGTACGGATAACGGATAAGGAACACAATACCAAACCTAAACGTAGATTCATCAAAGTTAGGAAACGAACCGTCCCATACCGTACCGAACCGAAGAACCGAATTATAAAAATAGATGTGTGTTATTAATGTATTGTATGTCAACATTGATCCTATATAATTTGAGAATTTTTAAAATGCAAATAAAATATAGTAATAACAGTTAAGATTCACTTAAATTTCATTTTAGTAATACTTAATCTACAATTGATTTTTCCTTTTTTTAAAAAAAAAAAAATGGAATGAAATATTAAAGAAATATTTTTTTAAAAAAATATTTAAACTTTACTTAAATTTGTCCATTTAGTCTTATTCTATCTTATAACTAACATGGTATGGCATGTCAAAGAAATATTACTTTAATAAAAAACTATATTACGTTTTGTTTGAATTTTAAATTTTCAATGTTAGTTGAACCAATTTAATCTTAACTAAAATTTAGAGTTACTTCTAAAGTTTATTTAAAAATAAAATCTTTAGTATGATGAAGTATTGATGAATGTTGAATTAAAAAAAAAAAACATATAAAAATAATATATAACTAGGTGATCATTCAAAAAAAATTAAAAAATAATTAGAAATCTTCGAATATCCTAACCGAACCAAACCGAACCGAACCGTTCCGATAGTCCCGAATACCCAACCGAAGCAAACCGAAAAATAAAAATCTCCAAACCGAACTGAACCGATTTTTTGATACGGTTCCAGAGATTGAATTTTAGTGATCTCCGAATATCGGTACGATTTTGGAGATTTATTAATCTCCGAACCGTACCGATCCATGCTCACCCCTAATTGCAGTCATGTGGCTCATTGCGAGTACTAGATTAATTCCCAGTGAAGGCGTGTTAATGGTTGGTTTTGCTACTTGGCCAAAATTATTGATATCTTGAATTTAAACATACATAAAATACAAGTATTGATTATATATATTACTCTTGGAGATGAATAATTTGATGCACTTTACAGGTGTTTTTTAATTTCTTACAATTAGTAAATGCAATATAGAAGATGTGTGTTAGAGTGCTCACACGATTTAGGGAATTAGATAATAATTTTAGCAAAATACAAGAAAATTATGCCAAGAATTTCCTACCTATATAATTTCAGACTTGCTCAGTTTAAATGGCAGACTAACAATATTAGGGAGTTGATTATGTGTCCTTCGACCTATATGTCAAGGCTAACTATTTCGGAGTTGATTTGACACAAATGTGTCTTTCATATTAACACATTTTCAAGCTTGGTTGATAAACCATCTATCTATTAGACTTGAAAATTATAATAAAATGTAATATGGTATATAATACATCCACTAGGAGCTCGCTCGGTTTAATGACATCTCGATTACACTGGGCATGACTCGATTATACACAGCTCAAAATGATGGAGTATAGTTCGAACAATATGGGCTTAGGTCGATATAGGAGGCAACTTGGATGGGATTAGTCCAAGTCGTCGGACAAAGATCAGGTCAAGCAACAAGGGCTCGAGCGAAAGAGGGTCTTAGGTGGTCGGAACAGAGACCAGGTCGGCCAAGGAGGCTCGAGCTAAAGAAGAATAAAGTCATATCAAGTTGGACTCTAGGTTAGTCTGTTTTACAATCGACCTGGGCCTAAGGTGGCTGAGTACCGACCTTACGAGCGTCAGTCTGAAATAGTACCAAGTAAGTGGTAGAGTACAATGTCCAACATTTCAATTTGTTTGGATTTTTTCTACTTGCAAAGACAATATATTGAAAATTATATTATTTGGAAGCATTGTAATCTTATGTCTTTGCATTTGTTATATATTTTCATATATGATAAAATCTTTAGATCATTATTAGCTATGAAGCATGGTTGCGCATTTGATGGCAATCAAGGAACATGTATTTAAAACTATAACCTTAAATAAGTTATAAGCCTATGGGTACTTTGAGACAAGACGACATTAAATAACCCGGTAAGCCTATGGGTACTTTGGGTAAATAATGTCAAGTGCATGATGTGACATTGTACGACAACTGTATCCCTGTCCACCAGGTTGATGACGTCCCTGAAATAAGCTCAAGAAGGATTATTATGTCAACTTCGGCTGACAGATAAATTTTCCATATAATGATAACATATTGAGTGGTACTATTTTCGAATAATGAAGTTGGTTAATTATATTGTCAGTAATTAAATTAATCAACAAACATTATATCGTAAACATAGAGAGGTAAATCGAGCAATTAGTCGGAAAACGAATTATATGTAATTCGCTAAATGAGGAGTCCAATTATATTTATGTAGTGTAATGAAGTAGTATGAGTAGAGTGGGCTTGACCCACACTTAGGCTTATACTTAAGCCCATATTAGCACTTCCTTAGGGTCTATGTTGTAGTCTATAAATGCATCAAGTCCCTTAGCCTCCAAGGAAAGTTCTACACGCATAAAAACATGAGAAATCAGTTTTTTTTTCTTAGAAAATTCGGATAAATTGTGAGGTCAACAGAGAGAAAAATTGTGAGGGTTTGGGAGATCAGACGAGTTGCTAACCAAGATGAATCAGAACAGGTTCGGTTATATAACTGAAGATCCTAAAGTCGTACGTTCATTTTACGAAGAAATATATATGTCTTTGCCGCACATCCGATAACCACTAAACTTGGTGGTCCCTACCAACAGAGACCACCGCATGCAGTAGAATCACCAGCGACAGTAGTTAGTGTGCTGGCTAGGCCAGGCGTACCTGACGACTAGCAGCTGCCGACTCAGGAAGCCCGCACCAGGGACCTGGCGACGCTCATGGACTAGTGTCCCAAACCGCGCTACGCTCGGCGACCAGTGTGCCACACCTCGTGATGCTCGGTGACCCGTTCCCTAGACAGCGCGATGCACTTGTCCAGCGACCTTCCAGGACCCGCAGCAGCACATGTGCACACAAGCGCGCATGAGCCTGCATCACCGTGCGCCAGATGAGTCATGACGAGCTAATATCACCTCATGCAGCCCTAGGCGATGCAAACTGACCAGCAATAGTGGCACGACGCCAAGGCAACACTAGACACGACTCGAAAACCATGTGATGCACTACCAAAGGTGAAGAGAACGATGAGTTGAGAAGATCGACTAACAACCATCGGTCTGGCCCCATAGGCCGTGTATGTCTGTACAAAGTAGTAAGTTTTTAAACTGTAAGTCTTGATCCTAACTATAGATTTTG